GCATTCTGGTTATCCCAGTTTGGCCGCTGTAGTGGCCATTTAATATCTGTGCCTGGACCGTGTTGGTGTTGCTGATCCCAAACTCTCATTCCTGCTCTTCGAATCATTTCCCTTTCCTCTACTGTGAATAGTATACCTAAAACTGCCTGCAACTCTTCCCAGGTATATACATTAGGACCCAAAACCTGGTCTAACCTTTCGGATACTCCCAAGGGGGCTTCTAAAAGGTTCCCCATCTCCTTCTTGAATTCCCTTATATCTCCGGAATTCAAGGGTACCGGCACAAATCCCATGCCAGGTTGTGGGCCCCCCATAGCTATTTCTCTTAAGGGGTATAGTCTTTCCTCTGACTGCTCTTTCCTCCTAGTCTGACTCCTTGTCATCCTCCGAATCTCTTCAGGGGAACTAGGAGAGCCTAAGTCTGGGTCTGGGACTGTCAGGGGAGAGGAGGAATGGGGGGGTTGGGTCAGGCGTGAGTTCAGGGGGAACATAAGGGGGAGGAGGTGTGGGAAGCTCTTCGAGGTTTTTAGGTTTTTTCCTATGATTCTTTTCACTTAGAGCGAACACATGGATTCGGGTATCTAATCTTATCCATAAACTAGCATATTCACTCTCTTCTAAACTAAAGGGTTCCTTAGAATTTACATATATGTTTAGGGCCTGACATATCCAATCCTCAAATGTCCCAAAACCAGGCCAAAATACCCGATCTCTTCTGATTTGTTTACCACCCCACACCTGCATGCAATAATATATCATTTTTTCTCTGCTTTTGCCTTGTCTGGGTGGCCAGTCATCCCAATGGGCAATCATTAATCCTAGAGGGCTGTCTGGCGGTATGTCGGGTAACCTCACCTTGGGGCCCCTCATGGAGTCAGAAGGCTTGCTTTTCTTCTGCCCCATCTTCCAAAGTGCCTTCTCACACACACACACACACGCACCCCTCATTCGTGGCTCACGCCCTTGCGGGCAATGAGAACTGCACTACAAGAGGGTCCGCACTCACTTCGCTCCTTCCGGGAGCGTCTCGTTCATGCGCACTTCGGGAAACCCACCCCGACCGAACGGGAACGCTTTCAATACTCACTTAACCTGGAGTCTTCGTCCGGATCTTCGTGCACGAAAATTACGGGGTACTGCAGTGTTCTTTTGCCTGCTTGCCAAATTTAGGGTTCGGAGGTAAGGGTCTTGGAAAGGATATCGTCCACTCCG